TGAAATATGATAATACTAAAATTCCTCATCATAATAACAATGTTGTTTAAATTGATGACGATAAAAACAATTTTTGAGTTTGTACAATTTATCAGCTGTTTCTCCAGAAATTGAAAATTTTGTAATAAAAAAAAACGGAAGATAATTTTACATAATAAAAAATAAGTAGAAAAACAACTAAGTATAATGTTACATTTCAATTGCTGCTGTGCGACATTTAAAATGTTAAGTTACGTTATAGTTCAAAATGTTTCTAATAAATAATTTCAGTTCATTATCGCAATGAATATGAAAGAAAGAAAAATATTTTTTTTTACAAAAAAAAAACAAACCAACAGCAAAAAGAAATTATATTAAATAGATTTTAAAACTCTCGGTAGACCGAATCCGACAGATTGATGATAAATATATATGTGTATATATATATATATACACATACTACTATGTATTACATACATCAACAGTGAGTCCTGTTTTGCAAACAGAGTGCAATGACGTAGATATAATTAGAAATATCGATAATAATAATAATAGCGTAGCTTTCATGAAAAATCAGTTATTGCGTGGGTGGATAACTATGTTTTCTTGTTGATTAACATTTATCGATTAAAATATTTTTATTTTTTTGAAAATCGTATAAGAATAGAGCAAAAGAGATAAAGAAAAGAAAAAAAGTGAAAAAAGAAGATAAGAGAGAAAAAAAAGAAGAGGAGAGAAAAGAAAAAAGAGTGAAAAAGGTGATAGACCGACATTTTCTATTGGGTTGAAAGATTCGTGACGAACGCAACTCGACCATGATACAAATCCCGGCTTTGGTAGGGATGGCATTTGGTTGGAGGGTTGCTAGACAGACCAACAGTAGACGGGAGTAACGATTGCCACCACCCTTGTACGAGGCGAGCTAGTCACCCCTTCCGTGTCCTTCCGACTTCCCACACGTCCCTGCTCTGCATCCAATCCGTCCAGCGAGCCGACCGCTTACTAACCAAACTGAAAACATCCCTTTGCTGGTCAATCGCCTTTGCTACCCCCTGCTGTTCTTCTACCAACCATTTTTTAATCGTTACACTATTAACTTCTTTCGATCTTTCCTATCTGTACAATATCCGTCGATCGATCAAAAAATTTTCGAATCGGAAAGGTATATTATAAAACAAAAGAGTTAAATGAAGGAAAACGTTATCTTGTCCGCATGCGCAGAAGGTCTTTTTCAGAGCATCGATACGACAGTCTATAAATAAATAATGATAAGACTCGAAAGGCTGACGTATAAATCTACATTTTTTCATTGTTTAATTGCAATTAAATTGAATGTAAATTGAAATAGAAGAAATATTATATATATATATATATACAAATAGAATAAATTCTGAATAATATTATGAATAGTATCATTCTTGTAAATAATATTTAATTTTATTTAATATAGTTGACAAAAAGACACAAAGAAAGGAAGTATAGATTGTTCACTTGTTAATGCTATATAAGCAACATTCAAAGAAAAAGGAAAATGCAGTTCGAGCAACTATATCTCTGCACGGATGAGTATTGATCCATGGCGCGCCCGTTTTCTGTATCAACATGACCAAATTCTTGTTGCTTATCACGAATTTATTAATATTTAATTTAAATATCGGAAATTAAATAATTAAATTCGATAAATATTAATTTACATGTTTGTTAATTGTAAAATAAATATGCCATAAATAAAATATTTTTATAGAATCTAATAGTGACAATAAAACAGTAATGATATTTTAAAGACGATAGATAGAATGATATAAAAAATAATATTTGAAAAATAAAATTGAATATTTTCTTCTATACATGTATATAGATAAATCAATAATGTGATAATAATACAAAAAAGAATATTGTTCATATTCGAAGATATTTTAATGTGAAAATCGTGAACTCATGCTCTTGTTGTAACGTCACTAGTTTTCTAGTGAATCTTTAGCATTTACCATTCTTATTATACCGGTTCTTGGACTGCCCTAACCGGCCGGCACAGCGCAACGTTGCGCTATTCGAAAAGAGAAGAGCACATACTTTGTCCATGTTACAAGATTCGAGAACAGTCAACGAACATGACTGATTAAAAATTCTGTTCTTGTATGATAGAATAGACATATGGAAAGCGAAAAATAATCTTCTAACAAGAAAAATATAATGAGATAGATTTATTTCGACGAAATAATGAAAATTAAAACCTATAGAAATAAGACTAGCTTGCCGCGTGTAACGCGGAGGAGGTCTCGTTCCTCCATCCTTCTTGTCTTATACATTTATATTTTCAAGGTCAGTTGATTCGTAAGTAGTTACAAAGTTTTCGCCAGATGGAACCACTGTACAGCTACGATATAACCGTAGCTTATCGAAAACTAAAGTTACTATTGCGAGGAAATGTGAATAGAGATTGACATTGATATCGTGTTTACAACATTAAAACTTATTCACGTTTCATTAAAGTTTTTTATATGTGCAACGCATTCCCGATCGACCAAATGATAAAGCAAAATAAGAAAACGCATGATTTAAGCGAATTCTATTTATGAAACAGGAATAGCTGTAAAACTGCACAAATCTGTTAAATCATTTTTCAAATAATATAAAAAAAATCAAAGATTAAACTAATAGAAACAATAATAAATCAATCATCATCTACATATAGCTTATTATAGCAATATAAAAATGCAATAAATACATATACATGTATAAATATGTATTATCGTGAGAAAGAAACTAATTCTTTAAATGATAAGATTAAGGAAATCGTAAATTTCTTTCTTACGATAGAATCAGGCATGAAAATTATTTAAACAAACCATGTATAGAAAAAATATAGCAAGATTTAAATTGGTGACACTCAGTGCCACGAAAGGTCACGCAAGAAATAAGTTAGAGAAACTATTGACGCGTTGTTTTCAATAATTGTTACATGGATTCTGAAAATGTGTCACAAACCGTTTGAAAACTCGATGCAGGTGGTTTTTAAAATAACAATGATTTAATTTATATACATATATATATATATAAATATATATATATGTATATATATATATATATATTCCTATATTTTAATTTTTTATAATATCGATGTTGACTTCGAATTATTAATACATCGTTGTAAAATCGAATAGAATAAAAAGTGCACTTTTTAAAAAGTCCACTTTTACAAAAGAAATTTAAAAAAAATGATTATATTGAATCGAAAATATGTAAACTTATCGATCGTTATTTTAAAAATCATATTCGCAGCAATACTCGGTTTGCAAACATGTTTATGCGAAATATTGTTTTATGATTCATCCTATTTTATTACTTATGAAATTGTTTTTGAACACATATGGTCATGTAATTTGCATTATTTCATTTATAAGTTATTATGCAATTGCGGATCTAATCAGAAAACATTCATTCGGAAAATAAACAGGAATTGCAATGAACCGAGTTGGCTTAGCGAAAAGCATCGTATTTTCTACAGGCCACTCGATCGCGGTAGCGTTCACTGGTTCCACGATCATGGGCTCTTGTAATAGCGCAAATTCCAGCGCTTACCTTTCTTGATGAGCAAGCTAGTGACCCTCCGTAGCGCCTCGCGAGTACTGGAGGCGGAGCTGTGCTTACTTTGGCCGAAGTATTTGTTCGGTGTGATGTTTGTTGGTAGAGTCAATGGTTTCCTCTGGTCTCCGGAACCTGCCAAGCGTGGATCGTACGCATTGTTCAGTCGTTCAAGATGTTCGATCGAAGCTGGTCGTGGTTGGTTCGCCTTCCTTGTTGGATACCATCCTCGATTCGGGCCACCGGCTAATCGCAATAATTCTGTCCCGATTATCGCTTGCTCCAGACCCGGATTATTCCTGCGATACCTATTTAAACAAATATCATTTATTTTTTTTTTCATCTGTCTATTGTTATCTATCATCATTCATTTATTCATTAGTTCCATTATTTTTATTTTTTACATTCATGATACATATAATAATTAAATCTTAAAATTATATATAAAATATATATATATAATTTATTATTAACCTAATTTACATAAGATATAAAACGCGATTTTCTAAATACATGTGAATAAAATTCTCATGAAATTGATAGTTATTGAAAATTCTTACCCGGTGGTAGCCGAGGTTGGGGCATACCAACCAGGTTGCCGACGCATTTGCGTAGGATTGCTGGCATGCTGAGGAGTTCTAGGAATATCGCTTCCTCTAGCAAAAACAGGAGTTTCCGGAAGCGAACAGGAAGTTTGCATCCCACTGGTACTGGTTGCTATATTACTACTGGTTCCACCGCTAGTACTACTACAAGCTCCACTGTTAACTCCGTTTGTGACAGTATTACCACTGCAATTGCCATTTCCAACAGATGAGCATGGTTCTGCAGATGGTGAGTGTTTCTTTGTAAAAGGCCGTCGTCGCGATGGTCCTGGTAAATCCGTAGGCAAAGTTCTTCGTTCTACTGGTATTTGCTAAAAGGCATGAAGAAATAATATTAGTAAAAGATAGATTTTTAATAATAATAATAATTATAATAATACTAATAACTGTTGTTATATAAAATAAGATCCAACTATTATCATTATATCATTATTATATAATTTTTTACCCAAAACATGATAAATTGTTCCGCGTAAATTTTTATAAAACGCACCTCTCGTCTGGAAGTGGTGGCAGTAGGTGTTCTTTTACCCCGAGAGAATCCAGCATCCATGGATCTGGTATTGAGAGATATTTGTTGATCTTTCGAATCTGAGAACGAATGATTGGTAGTAACAGGGCCACGATGAGGTGGCACTCTAGGTCTATATTCCATTGTTCGATTGCTATGACTTTTTGGTTTCGAAACAATCATGGCACTCTGACCGATGTCCGAGCTTTCCTCATCTGCTTCTTCTACAGGGGAAGGTGGTAACGGAGGAAATTCGAGAACTTCTACACTTACCTAAAAGCAAAATGCGATCAATTATGATAAATTTCTTCGATTTTCAAAATATTTGGTTTTATCAAATGAAAGCATACCTGAAAATCTGGATTTTTGGAATCCTCAAGAATGGCGTCGATCACATTTTCGATTTGCTTTTGATCGTTCTTATGACCATCAACGACACCATTCTGTCGCAATCTTTTCCCTGATGCATAAATATCTGTTCCATTTATTCTTCTTCCCTCGATATCTGTCGTTTCTGGACTGGTCTTAGATGCTGAATCTGAATCAAGATCTGAATCAAGTTGTTTTTTCGCTCTAGCATCTGCGGTGACACGTTCATTGGATTCGTTATCGAGACTAGTTTTTCTCGTTAATGGTTGTTTCGCATCTCCACTACGGATCCATCGTTGTTTATTCTCCGAATAAGATTCACTGTTCTTCACGCTCTCAATCTCTTTTATAGCATCACTCACTTTCTCTAATTGTCGTCGATTTTCCTTCAAAGCTTTTTTTACAATTTGATCTTCAATTAATAAATTTACCGGAATCTTGGATGCTAACCGATTTTCATTACCAAGGCTGGAATTAGGCGATTTTCTCGCATTTGATTCTTCGATGAATGCGTTCCCGCCAGGTGGTGTTATAGCTAGACTAAATCCCTTAGAATAACTATTAGAAGTTGAAAAAGAAACTCCATTACATGTACTATTTGACTCATTATTTTCTTGATTTACAGATTCAGCCAGATCTTTCTCAGGCTTGTCATTCGATGATAATGAGGATGATAATTGGATCAATTCGTATATTTCTCGAGTCTTCTTATCTTTGTCCGAGAGATCTGAACTTTCTTCCTCTTCAACTGTGACTTCCAATTCCCGTGGCCAATTATCGGTTTCATCGTTAATCGCCGGAAGTGAGACTACTCTGACCAAATCGGGCGGAACAGATGGCGCAAATTCTATTGGCGGATCGTCTCGTCCGATCGGTTCGTCCATTTTATTTTCCCTTAAAAGACTTCTGATGTTATCAAAGGTACTCGAGTATCGTTTCACGTTGGACAACGGATTCTCCTCGCTGTTCTCGAAGGATAAACTTTTAGTTTTGGTAGGAGCTTTTGGCAATCCTTTTCGTTCTTTCTTTCGACCACGGCGTATCACGTAGGTACCATTTTTCGTTAAATCTTGTGGCCGTATCTGATCAAGTTCATTTGTCGAAGAGTCCGAATATGGAGAGATTAAATCATCATCGGTAGTCGATAATCGTGGATCTTGCCAATCGTCGAAATCGCGAAGTTTGGATGCTGATCCAACACCTGAAAATTTAATCAATAATATTCACTATACGTTACATTTAAAGGGCAATAACTTACTAATATAAATAAAACTCAAAACTAACTTTTTTCAAGATAACTGATTGAAAATTCCTGTTTGTTGTACCAAAAACAAATTTGAAGTTTGAAAAGAATAACTTACTGGACACATCGCTGCTCTTACGCCGTCTCCTACCGATCACTTTGGTACTTCCTGGAGCGTATAAAGGATCATCTTCCAGAGGTACTTCCCAAGCGATGGAATGCCTCTTGCTGATCGGAGGAGGAGGAGGTAAAAGTTCTTCCAATGAATCATCGGAAAACCGTTCCTCTTCGGATTGAGTTCTAAAATCCGTCGAGTTTCTGGTCGAGAAATCCGAGTTTCTGGTGGAGAACATGTCGGAATAACGCTCTTCGGAACATCTGTCAGAGGTTGGGGCCGAGAATCTTTCATTAGAATCGGTTCTCGTCGGTAAAGAAAACGAAACAAAGTCGAGGTTTCGAATCGAAAAAGGTTCGGATGTCGGCACGGAAACACGATCATTCGAGCTGGCACTGGCCACGGCTATCGAGAAATCTGAAGAATGGAATCTCTCGTTCGAGATCGAGTTCGCCCTTGAAAAATCGGAGGATCCGCATGTCGCTCTCATGGAAAATCTTTCGACACTGATCGAACTCGAGCGTGGGATCGAGGATCTCTCGGATTCGGAGTTTCTCGAGAATCTTCCTTCACTCGAATCAGAATCGTTCCTTCTACGACCGTTTTGTTCCGATTGTTCGTGATTCATCAACAATCGATCCTCTACACTGCTCGATTTCATAATCTCATTGTTTTGACGTTGTTTTCGCAAATGCGACGTTCGATCCTTCTCAAAATTCTGTCGATGGTTTTTGTTATTCCCTTCTAGTCCCTCCTCCTCGGAGGATCGACGTCTGACCTCGCGATGCTTCTCTATGGTCGTTGGATTGGTTCGAGGTGGGATCCAACCGAACGACACTTTACCATCGTATGGTAAGCTGGCGAATTTACTTGGTGGACTTGGAGGTTGAGCTAATTTTAATGGTTCACCATTACCATTTTCCCATCCATATGGTCTCTGGTGTCGAGTTTTAGGCTGCGAAAAAATATAATTCATCCATATTAAGATAAATTTTTGTCTTGATCTTTAAAATAATAAAAATGAAATAGATCAAAAGCTATACAGTAATATTATTCCATAAAATCCAATATCTTTTGGTATTAGTAATTATGGCATATATATTAGAAAAATATAATGTATTTTTAGATATTGGACAATTTTATCTGATTCTATTCTGCCGTACATGTATCAATGACAGATACGAAAAACAAAAAGTTGTTGGTTTAAAAAAAAATTAATTTAAATGTTCATTCAATTTGATTCGAATCTTATAAAGGATGTAAAATGATAATTTTATCTTGTGATTTTGATTTGAGTCATTAATAATAAGAAATTGTGAGATTGTAAGATATCATATAATCATATTCAGGCACTATTGTATATATAAAAATGGTCGAATTTCATATTATTTCGATCGAATTTGTACGATCGTAAATGCTCGTTAGATACTCACGAGAGTTGTTTGAGTGGTAACAGTACCGTTTCCGTGTCGTATACTATCCTCCATAGCTATCATCCACTGTTGTCGTCCGCTTCGACGAGTTGATGGATGGCCGTTTCGTTTTGAAGAATTTCCAGGCGATACCCTATGGTTACACGCAATGAATTTAATTTGCATTAGAATTTGTATAAAAATTTGTGTTAATTTTTGCAATTGATGAATGAAAAAACTTGAGCGATTGTATTTTAATAACATTATATTTCATAATAAACTATACTTGACTTTATGTTAGCAGATTTGCATAACATAAAATAAATAGATTATAATTTGGATCAGAAAATACATTGTAAAAAATCGTATGATATGTTTGATTTTCGTAAAAACAAAAAAGAAAAAATAATAAAAATAATAAAAGAGAAAAGAAGAGAATTTTTATTTTGTTATTCAATTATTATTAATATTAGATTTTCCGTTTTTAAATATACTTTGATTGATATATGTAATGACTATTGTACATTGTTTCCATACAAACAAAATTAATATTGTTTTTAATGAATTATGTAGAGCAATCGTTTTTAAAAATTCTACGGAATCGAGCTTAATTAATGAACAGATATTAAAAAAAAAAAACGGTTCTGATGCTCACTAATTGCATATATGCCGAGAGTTTATAGCACGTCTATTACTGTCGAGGATATGAATGTCACGTTTCTATGCTTAATATGCTATACAGAAACGTTATATTGTTGCATCCATTAATACTTATCTGACCTTTATCTTTAATAGTTTAAATAGTATAAAGTATGATTAGCTCTGGAATAGTTGAAGGATAATCAATCCAAAATCAATAAAAGAATAATTAAACAATAAAAGAAAGAAAAGATTTATCTTTTTTTATTTCTTGTATTATCTATTGCAAAATTGTTCATAATTTAATAAATAAGTTATATAATAATTTAATAATTAATTGACATTCTTGCAACGACTTTTATGCTTGACTTAATGTCTATCGATCCTTTAAAACGACGTTTATTAATATTATATTAATACTTTATACAGTAGCATAGGTCACAAATGATCCAGAATCGATTACCTGTATTGTACCTATTAATTAATTAAAAGAAATTGATCAAAGAATTAATACTTTCTTTAAAAATAATTTAATACAGTTTCAACAGTTAGAAACAGAAATAGTGAACTTACATGGGCAACAAAGTAGAAATGATTCGTTCGGCTTCTTCCGGCGGTGGTGGAAATTCTTGGGTAGATATACCCGCAAGATCCTGTGGCTCTGGACAATCTGGAACCGGACGTAGTGCTACCAGAGCCATCTTCGCTTTCCGTCCATTCATACTCATGTAACCGTCGTCCTCGGATTGATGTCCTGTCAAGAGAGCGTGCATTCTTATAAATTTTATTTTTATCGCGATCGAAAGGATACATATCTTTCGGATACGTATTTCGATAGATTACCATTATCGTTCCTTCCCTGCAAACACCTTCTACTTCGATCGAATTTTCTTCCTCCATATTATCCATTAATCTCGAACCATTTTCATTTTTTTTTTCAAAAAGATCGAATTTCCGTTCCTTCATGTTATACAAATACTCGTTACATGATCGTTTTCTTTTCTCAAAGAATGTTCAAATTTTAAAATAAAATTTTAAAATAAAATTTCTAATAAATTTTTACTTGTATTCTTCCTAATTTGATGAAATTGTTGATTTTCATTTTATATTTCTTGGATAGTTCTTATATTTTTTAAACATATATTATTCATTTTGTCTGTGTTATACGAAGAAGTCATTTTAGAATTAGAAAAAAATTCTAAAAAGATAATATTAGATAATGCACATAAAATTGTATTTTTTTAAAATTTGAATTCAATGAGTTATTATTTAATTTTTTTTTTTCATTATCTATCTACTCTATTAAACAAAAAGAAATTTATAATAAATTGCATATTCTAAAAACTACATATATTTAATAAAATTTATCATAATATTTATGATTTCCATATATGAATTTAAAATCATCTTTTAATTGATCTACATCTACAAAATGAATAATTTTTTAATCAATGATCAATAAATTATTTAAAAAAAAAGACTCTTTAATTAAATATATAATAACTTTAAATATATTGATACTTTAGAGATATATAATTAAATATATAATTAAAATAATTAATATAATTATAGTTAAAATAATTTTATTTTTAAAAAATTACATTTCATATGCACCAATCCAATATTAATTTTCGATCAATATCATCAAGCTTGATCGTGTGACAAGATTCGATGAACATAAATGATATACGGAAAATGGATGAAAAGAGAAGGATGAAAGAAGTAGAAAAAATAAAAAAATAAAAAAATAAACAGAATATCAATATATTATCGCGAAGGTCATAGAGATGAAAGGAAGAAATAAAACGGAAGATGGCGTGAAGGAGAACGGAAAGGGAAGAAGAAAAAAAAAAACGAAAAAGGGATAAAAGATACCTAAGGACGGACTTTCGTCGTCAGGTGTGAGACCAATACTTGGTTCGGTGCTGCTGCCACAATCCCCAACACCTCCGCCGCTCCCACCTCCACTACCGTCACCACCGCCGCCACCGCCACTGCCGACGCCGACGCCGACGCCTCCACCACCTTCGCCCTCTGCTTCGTGCTCGTCGTACTCTGAGAGCACTTTGTCCAGCAGCTCGATCGATCGTTGTACATCGTCACCTCTGGAACAAACGTATCGTTCGATTCTATAGAGATCATGCATAAGATCTATTTACTTTCTCTTGTCAAACATAGTATAATTTCTTCTCTTTTAGATTGCTCGATTTTATTATTTCGTTATATACTATACAGTGAGATGAAATTCTCTTGGATGGTACAAAAATAACGAATATTAGATAGAAGATGAAATAAATTATGCGTAATGATAATAATATACTTTTTTCTATTAATGTTAGTTTGAACTTTTTGTTTAGTTGAAATATCTTACGTTAAAATTTTATTCGTATATGTGAAATTTTCTACCAATAGGCACTCGTATCTTTATGATTTTATTCGATATACATATCAGAAATAACCAATCAAACAACCGCATTTCTTATCGAGGGCTTCTCCCCAGCAAGTATAGTACTCTAGGGAGCTGAGAAGATGGCAGTAGGAACGGTATAGAAGGAAGGGAAGCGATGTTATTCGATCTTATTTTCGGCCAATAAACGTTCTCATTTTTATGATCGTATTCGATCTATCAGAAATATCCAATCAGATCTCTCATTCCTTATAAAGAAATCTCTGAGCAACACATAACATATACAGGTTATTTGATCAAAGATTTTCAATCAGAAAACGAATACGTTTCGATTATAACTTATAATATTCGATGTGAATCCATTTGAATGATCAAATATACATTGAATCAAACTTAACACGGAGTGTCTCGTATTGAATGACTATCAAAAAATATCAGAAGATTGGAAGGATGACGGAAACATTATTGTGCACGTCGATAGTGGTGATAGTAATGGCAGAGAATATAACGTCGAGATTGAGGAGGTCGGCGCCAAATAAGAGAAGGGAAAGGGTGAAGCGGAAAAGGGAGAGAAAGGTAAGAGGGGTCGGATAGGGAGGAAAGGACGCGTAGAGGTCAGGGGGAGCAAAGAGGAGTATCAGATGGTGGGTGGTGAGAGAAGTAGCGAGAGTAGCGAGGAAACGAGGGATGGTTGGCGAGGAAAATTGCAAGGCGGTACCGATAAACCTACTCGCGCGTACTGACGCAATGCGGTCTTTGGTTAGTGGTAATCGCGATTGTTAATTACCGTGGAAATACAACCATCGAGAGACGACTTTGTCGTCGAGATGAATGGGATGAGAGGAAAAAACTCGCTTATTATTCCAACTAATCATTGATCCATTTGTTCTCTCTTTCATCGAGAATCACAACATATATACGGTCGTCGTTTCACGTTTCGTTGAAAGAGGACCCAGACAACAATTTCTTGACCACCTCTTTGATACTCGTTTAACTTTTATTATGTCTTCGAACGTGTACAGGTTATCTTGCATCTTCTCTTACACAATGGCACATAATAATTATTACAGATAGAAAAACTGTCTCGTAATTGCAATATGACAACCACTTCTTTCGATTCTTTTTCCTCTTCGCTTCCTCATTTCTATCGTTTGTTCGTGGTAGGTCATTATAATTGCGATATAACTGCATTGTTAAGAGACAACGATTCAATTTATTTATTCACCAAGAGATTTGTGCAAATAAAAAAATAATATTACGTAAAGAAGATAAAAAATAATTGATTAAATAAGAGAGCGAACGAATTTGAGAAAAACCGTTTTTCGAAAGTTTATCCAAAGAGAAATTTTTTTAATAGTAGAAAAAAGACCATTTTCCTCCTTCCCCATCTTTCCCTCTTCGTTTTTCTTTTGCTTTCTTATTCGGCTTTTCAACGTTACAGTACGAAGCACAGCAGCATTTCGTCATCATCAGATTCGTTAACGTTTGATTCATAATTCAAGATCATAATTATTCGAAAGTTGCTGGAATAAAAATCAGGAATATTCTCTTTTCTTTTTTTTTCTTTCTCCCTTTCTCGTCGAAGAATCATTCCAACATCGTTGGTACAACTTTACAAATTTCAGATCGTTCTCTTTCACCAATGAATTGTAAATTTTATACTCTCGCGACAAATTTGTACCTTGTGTTATCTCATTTTATTACTTTTCACAATAGCAAATTTTCATCGATCGTTATCTTCGCCACAGAGCTTCGAATTTCGCTTGTAAAATAATCTTGTCTACTTTCTGCGGTTCAAAGAACGCCAAGCTGGTTTAGATATTCGATATTCCTTTCTTTCTTCATACTTATACGACTAATATTATGCACCTGCTTATGGATTCTGTTTTAGTTGATTTCTCTTTATTTGAGATATGAAAAAATATAAAGATAATCGTATCACTTGGTTTCAACTTGGCATAAAGCGTGCACGTATATGATCTTATTTATATAAATTGATATAAATTCAATGAAAAATGTTAGACCGAACTATCTAAACAACTTTCACGGATAACCATTCTGATGGTAACAGTGACCACGATTAAATCGTGTTTGAGATCAATACTCCTTCAATTCAAACATATTTACACTATTGTTCATAAGTAGAATATAAAATATTCTTTGGTATATTTTGTTATAACAGCAAATTTTAAAACTTAAATTCTAATCAAATATGTATAAATTAATAATGAATTAATAAATGAGTAAAATTAATATTAATTATTATTTATTTATAATATTTATCCTTCTTCTCCTGATAGATTGAAAATTTAAATGATCTATTAAAATAATTCTCATTAACATATTACTTATATAAACTTATATAAATTTATATTTTTTTTGTAAAATTATTTTCTTTGTTATATTCTCTTTTATTAGGTAAAAACATCAGGTATATTTAATTATTTTTATAATTAATTTTGAACATTTATATAAATCTATTATATCTATATTATATATGAAACATTTGTCTTAATATATGAAGAGATAGATAATATATTGATTTATTAAAAAATTGTTTTCCAAATAATTTTAGTTTTGTTTATTTAATCTTCAATTATAGACATCACATGACTATATTTTGAGTGTCAATGCTCTTATATTCCCACTAATTAAACACTGTTACGTTGAAATTGAATAAAACTCTTTCAATCGGAACACAAAAAGTGCAAAAGGAATTCGATAACTCGAATCTGCTCATTAGCAGAGCTACGAGAAAGCAATAGAGAAAATTTTCTAATCAGCTTTCAACCGATGAAATTGTCTTCGCAAACAGTAAAATTACTCAAAGCTGAACGAGATATTAGGTAAACGTCGTATCGCGTCGCTTTTTCCTCTTTTCCTCTTTTTTCCTCTTCTCTTTCAATTGCTAGAAATTCCATGGAAAAAGCACCTCAATTTACGAAGAGAGCTCGTTCCTGGATTACCTTCCAATTAGAGTTGTTTACATACTAGGTGACAATCATTTTCTTTTCCAACAATGAAAAATTCAACTTGATTGATGTGAAATTCGGCGTGTCTTTCGTATCATTAACTTTTCTGATTAATGTTCTGCTTTATTGTTTAATCTTATATTTTGTATATTTGAATGAATACGGAGAAAAATTATTTTACTCTTTGAGTTCGTATCCAAAAAGAATATAAATTAGTTGAACAAGAAATTATTATTCCAATTCTCATAAATATTCTCATGCCTCTTGAACCCTTCGAACTAATGAGATAGTCGAGAATTTCGATTCCAGAAGCTTTCAATTATTTTCGATTAACTTTGGTAAGAATCGATTGCCCTTCGAGATTTTCTTTTTTTTATTAAAAATCAATCAGAACAGATCGACTTTTAGCCATATCAACTTACCAAGATATATTAAACTAAACGAAAAGAAAAGCATCAATGCGCGAAATAATAAAATCGAACGCGCGGATATCCGTATATTTTGAATATTTCATTCGAAGTAACAATCTTCGAAATTAGCCGAAGAAACATATGATCAGACACTAAAAAAAGGAGAGAAGAGATAAAGAAGTAGCATGATTATCAGCGAGTTTCCTGCCTCCAACACATCTTTCATTTACTTCTTAGAGAAAGGATAATGAACGCGTACAGAATCTATATTTACGTATCTATGTAACTTCGCCTCTGGTGAAAGCAAAGGAAAAGGAAGCAGATGACGAAAAGGGAGAAGCTATTGTTCGCAAAAACATTGTTTCATTTAATTCAACGAATCGATGAGTATCGAGCGGCGCAGCCGTTTTCGGATATGGGTCAGTGGTCGATACGCGTGTCCTGCGTCGCGCACCTATCTACATGTATATATATATATAGCACATCCATAGAATATATAGTATATAGAAGCGAACGTGGCAATGCGCGCAATAATCGTAAATGCGCATGTACGTACGCATATACGTGTATACATACTTGTGACATTGATGATTGGTTGGTAGTTATATAGTTATATATATATATATATACATTTATAAATTATGCGTCACAAACGAAACAAAGTATACGCGATCATGATTGTGTTACAATTAACGATAAAATTATTGTTTATCATTCGAATCGAAGATGTGTTGCTTTACACGTATTGTAACCATAGAGACATTTAACTCGAGAGAAACGACCCATTTATCAAAGTGAACTCGATACAGTTTTGTCACGAATACCAGCACGAGTTTAAGTACCGATACACTCCATTTGAAAACTAAACTAATAGAGTAGAACGATAGCAGGTTCATCGACCTAAATCGCCATATCGATCGATTAAAAGGATGCGCGATGGATGTGCGGTTCTTCGCGAGTATATGGGTATGGGTGGGGTATGGGTGTGTCGGTCATACCTTGGTTTATTACTAATCGTTACATCAGTGTCTGCAATTACCATTTGATTCAGCATATTGTCTCGGGAGAGAACTATAGCTCATAATCGCGTTGTGAATATAACATGCAACGTGCACGGTATAAACTTAAATCATAGTTCGCGATAAAGTCTATTTCAATTATGAAGTGCTTTTTTTTTTTTATTCTGCACAAGTCGGCGAGAAACGAAAAAATAACGATTCGATCGAAATCGTAGATTGAAAATTGTTCGCACTAAAAGAACCATGTATTCGTGGATTAATTTTTAATCTGTATTTTGTACATGAAGACCATAAGGGAAAAGACGATATAGCTTATTTTTTTATGGATTTCTGATTTATATAAAGTGCTTTAAAAACAAATATATTGATATAAGATAGTTTCAAAAAAAAAAACTTTTTGAAAATAGATTGTAAATCTATGAAATATATTCTAATTAATCTTATGATAAAAATATTTTTTAAATTTACAAAATTATGAAAAGAATATAGATTTCATTCTAAAATAAAACAAAAGCATCATGTTAGCAATGTAACATTACTTGATAACATGAATTTTAAAATTATCTTTAAAAAAAATAATTAAAATAATTACATGTTTATGTATCATGATCTTCATATAAATCTAGACTGGGATCAATACTTCTCGAGCGAAATAATTTTCGATTAATTCATCTGATGTAATAAGATCGCAACCCTTCCGGCATCCACTTTAACGCGCTGGCTAATGACTTAATCACATCCAAACCTAACTTTGAAACTTTCCATCGAATTATTCGGTGGCTAGACCTCGAGGATTTACAAGCATAACCTAACTTTTACATATTTCCACGTCTTTAAAATATATTTCATGTTTCTAAATCGCTAAGTATCCGAATACATGAAATGTTGAAACGTATATCAATCCGTTTCGTTTCAAAGCGATTAATTTCAAAGACGAAGTATCACGGAACATTATAGGTTAGCTACTCTTGGGAGAGTCCTTGTCGTCTACGCCTAATTACGTAATACTGTACTACTGGGAAGGATATACGAGTTCCGAGGATGGACGTAACATTAACTGTGAAGCTTCCAAGATAATGCAATTGCTAACGTCTGACAGGATTTTCAGTGCTGTCAATTATCGAATAAAGTGACATCGGCTCTACGTAAGTACCTTCGTGTACTTCCAGAGGGCGTTGAACTCGCTCAATATACGATGTCTTTCCAGTCGCAACGTATTGCATTAAAACATTGGCGATATACATAAATCCTTTCGACTTGAAAATGAAATTCAATATGACCAGGTAAAGAATACAAGATCTTTAACATCGGGACATGATATCTCGCAGTCTGTGTTCTCAAACGATTCGATTAAATCGTGCAATTACCGATTGTTACCTATTATAATGAGAAGAAAACAAATGCATAATATCAATAGCGAAGCATTTTTTTTCTTACAAGAATACATTCCTTCCAGCCGACGGATTCAGAATCAAAGACTACCTATCCTTTCTACCTCTCCTTCTTCTCTTTCACATCCGTCCCTTCCTGTTTGCTTCTTTTTCCATCTTTCTCTTCTGTTTCTCTATTTATCCGAGCTAGAGAATACCTTGCGAATCAATAAGTGGTAGACCCGATTTACAAGAGCGACTAGTAACCGACCGAGTATGAAAGGAGCTTAACAAGCGGAAACGGACGGTGCGTATCCATCTCGGTCATAGATTCTACGCAATATCGGTAGAAACTCGACTAGAAAAGTTATTCACCCCGAATCGATCCGGTCGATTGTCGAGCTGATGAAAGCTGCCCTATAACTAGTTAATTGGTCTGCTACCGATACAGCTACTCTCCTTCACTCTGTTCCTCATACCCATTGCTCAATCCCGCTTCTATTCTCATTTTCGCTTCTTTTCCATCATCAACAGCAGTAGCACCAATAACTGATAATTAATCCGCCCGGTTGCGCCGTCTATCAATCGAATTATGAGAGGAGAGGAAGACATTCTCTACCGTGATTTTTTCATCTTTTTCGATCCTTTTTTTCCTTTTCTTTTTCTTTGATCGAAGTAATAAAATAAAAATAAACCAGAGAATGAAAACGTAAATGATTCAAAGTAAATTTGATTATTTTTTAACAACTAAAAATATTTTAGTATTTTTGCATCGATTTCTAAAAGGAAATAACGATACGAAATTTTTTTAGATTCGCTTCTCGATCAATCATAATTAGAATCACGACGAAGCATCCAATCGAGACTGATCAAAGATGTCCGAACTCGAAGACAAGAACCTTCTGTCTTATTCATCGAGGTTGAAAGGTGGGTAGAGTATTCGAGAGTAAAAGAGTATATACATATTGATTTCGCAGTCGAAAGAACTCGCCTATTACTGCCTCCACTTTACCATCCGGATTTCTCTGCGCGTTTCGAATCGATCGAAGGCCAATGTCGATGTCAAGCCGATACTTTGACTTTTTTCCCCGATTCCTTCTCCCCCGATATTCTTTCTCCTCGGACTCAATTGGCTATACCATGCTTATTTTGATTTATTGAACAACGAGGAAAGTAAAAGGGCACGTTAAACGATATTTCTATATTTTCTTTTATAAACAGTTCTACTTACTCTGGAGCAGGATTTCTCCAACGTTGCGTTCCAGTCCACGCCATCGGGCATTGATCGCCCCCGACCTGGAACAAACAAAATATTTTCTGAATTGGTCTAGCTTGCTGCGAAGTGAAAAAGAACTAAAGTAAGTAATTGATTGCTTCTTGCAGATTAACATCTCGTGTTTTACAATTCAAATATCTTTAATGGTATGAGATCGCATTATATTATGTTTGTTTATCTATATTTTTATTATGTATTTAATTATGTATTGTATTCACGAGAAATTAAAAAAGATTGTGAATCTGATTGATAGATCCAATATATACATAAAAATAATATTACATTTGCAGATAAGATTATATATTTCATTTATATATATATATATA